ATATATATATATATATATATATATATATATATATATATATATATATATATATATATATATATATATATATATATATATATATTCAGTCTTGGTTGATGATTCTGTCATTACTGTCATTAACTTATTCCAAACCTGTTTGAGTTTCTTTCTTTCTTCAACACCTAAAAGGTTATTTTTGACAAAAAAAAAAAAAAAAAGCTGAGACCTGTAACCACTGATTTCAACAGTATTTGTTTTACTATTAGAAAGTCAATGGTTACAGGTTGTCAGCTTTCCTTAAAATAACTTTTGTGTTCAACAGAAGCAAAATATTTAAGCAGGTTTGGGAAAAGTGAAGAGTGAGTAAATGAAAGAATTTTAAGTTTGGACAAACTATCCCTATATATAATAAAATGCACCCTTACTAATTAAAAGTACATACATGTTTTGAAGTTACTACCCCAGTGACAGTCTTTATTAAGTAAAAAAAAAAAAGCTCTACATCAACTCATTCTTTAAGGTTTCCATGCAAGGACACTTTCTATTTTCTATCATCCATGCCAAGCAAAACTTTTTGCACAAGTTCAAAGTCCTTTACTCTATATTATGTGAAGAAGAGCATACAGTAATCCAAACAAGACAAGAAAGGTCTGGACGTGTGCTGTGGATGGTGTCCAATTCATTCTTCAGGACAACAGAGACCCTCAGTGAATGCAGGGCCAATAAAGCATCCTCTGTCAGCACTTCAGGATTATCAATCTAAAAATATAATTCAAGGATATTAATGTCAGGACAATATCAACATGACTGAGCCAATATTACATGATTCATCAACTAGTCATGATTACAAAATGTTATTAAGTAAAATTTGCACCTCAACTTTCATCTTTTTTAATAGAACATGCCTAATTGTGAAAAGAATGAATGAAGTCTTACCAGGGTGGTCCTAAAGAATCCCAAGTCACGCTCACGCAGCAAGACCAAAAGACCTCTGATAACAGTAGTCCGTCATGAACTGACATCATGCAGTTCCTGCAAATACAAAAATTAAGAAAACTTTAAGAACTTTTCTGTAGTCAGCAACAACCGACCTTCAATTCTGTATGTACACAAAGTCACAGTGTCATTTAGCTGAGAGTGGAAGTAGTACAATTGCATGATGTCTAACGTTATCCCCCAAAATGGTTAGCAATAGAGCTGATCATCATGTTAGTTGCTTTGATTCGATGAACACGCATTTAACTTAAACAGTATTGAATTTTCTAAAACTGAATAGGACGACAAAGAAATTTAAGGCCTGTTTTTAAAAGCTAGAAATAACAAAACTTACCTTATTGTCTAATGATGCAAAAATATATAGACTAAAAAATATAAATGTGTATATATATGTGTATATACACATATATAAATTTTTTTTTTTTCAAAGATAAAAAATATTTTAAGCTGCAAAATTTGCACATCAAAAAACTACATCTTGTTTACCACGTCTTGAATATTTTGTTTTGTTATTATATTATTTTATTTAATAATATAGCTTTGTATTACTGTTATAAATAGACATACTTTGTTTATAAGGCTGTATGTTCTTTCCAGAGTAAACATTTAAAAAAAATAGATTGAAAAAAAAAAAGTTTACCATACCTTTAACCTATGTTTGACCTAAATGGCATTTAAAATCATTTAACTGATCGCATTAATCAGGTAATCATTGATATGCACGGATGTCGTCTTAAGCGCAGGGAAATAATCAGTGTTGATTAGTGCTGGTGATTGAGGTAAAGTTAGTTTTATATTTACACATCAGACTTTCTCCTTAACAATATAATTTCAGAAAAGTAATTTTTAAATATTCTAAATAGTGAAACCATATTAGCAGCCAATGACTTTCAAAGTACAACATTGTTCAGTCAAAAAAAAAAAATAGTGCATTTAGTGTAATGTTGTTTTCATGTCATACTTGCATGTGATTTCAGACCGAGTAACGTTACACAAAGTACCATGGTAAACAATATATGGAGCGAGTCACAAGTTGTTACTGAAGGAATGTATGAATATAAAACCAACTTTACCTCAATGTGCTAGTGTGAGATGAAGCTCTGCTCTGTACCTGCTCAGGTGAGGAGCGCAGCTTAAATGTTCTCTGTCAGGCTTTCCTCATGCATGGATCAGCATGCAACAAGCTGCGTGTGATAGACAGTTACGTTTTGAGACTACGTTTTTGCAAGTCATCAGAAAATACCGTTTAGTATTTAGGCGGAGATTGTTTGAGTTATGATTAACGTTACGTTTCTTGCACCTTTCGTTTCCGTAATGCCAACAGATCGCAAAGATAATACCACATTCACAGGCTGAACGGAGCTCAGCGCAGCGCCATGACTTGTGGTTGTGTAAGAGCGCGCGTCTCCATGACAACTCGAGCACAGGCTGAGGAAAGGCATACTCGCGCCAAGATTTAAAAATTTTTGAAAAATTTAATCTGCCGATTTCAAATGTTTTTGTCTTTATCACACTCTGTTAAAATTCAGAGTTAACACATTACAACTAACGCTAACGTTGCACTGATTCTAACTTTTTAAACAGTAGGCTAATGTTAACGTTAGTTAGCAACAAGTGAGGCTAAACACGTTTTCTGTAATGCATGACATGTAAACGCATTCTGACCAACTCTACATTACATTGAACTGTTACTGTGATTATATTGAATAAAACATACATTTAATATGTCTTGGATTTGTAAATATTTTACTTACTATAGTGTGAAGCGAGGCCGATCCGCCATCTTGAAAAAAAACGAATGAAGCATGAACCTGAACGTGAACCTGGATGACGTCAGACGCAAAATCACTGAGCTGAAAGATTTTGAGTTAATGAAACTTTAAAGGAACATTTTGTATAAATTAAACCCAAAAAAAACTGTTCAGCTTACTTGAAAGATACAATTTTTACAAACTCAAAAATAAGAAAAAGTTCTAAATACTCATCAAGGTTAATTAAGATAAGCAAATTTTAATGATTTAAGTTAATAGAACTCAGTTCAATTAATTAGATACAGCATTAGGGTTTACAGTGTATATATCTGATAGTATTTTTTCTTCTGAAGAAAGTCTTATTTTTTATATTTCAGCTAGAATAAAAGCAATTTTAATTTTTTTAAAAACAATTTTAGGGAAAAAATTATTAGCCCCTTTAAGCTATATTTTTTCTTGATAATCTACAGAACAAACCATCAATATACAACAACTTGCCTAATTACCCTAACCAGCCTAGTTAACCTAATTAACATAGTTAGGCCTTTAAATGTCACTTTAAGCTGTATAGAAGTGTCTACAAACATATATATATACGAATTATTAGCCCCCTGAATTATTCGCCCCCTGTTTTTTTTTCCCCAATTTCTGTTTAACAAATTTAATGTCATTAATATTGACATTAAAATGTTTTCTTTTCATATGTATGTATATATGAAATATATAACTGCATATATATATATATATATATATATATATATATATATATATATATATATATATATATATATATATATATATATATAT